TCATCCATCTCTTTATTGGTTACTTCCTCAAAAAAACTCAATAAAGTTTGTGAGACATGATTTCCCTCACACAAAACCATGCTGACTATCCCTAATCAGTCCTTGCCTCTCCAAATGCACGCAAATCCCATCTTTCAGAATCATCTCCAACAACGTACCCACCACCGATGTCAGGCTCACAGGTCTAAGTGCCAAGTGGATGATCCATCTCAGCCTCCTCCAGTGGTCCCCAGCATTACAGATACCATTTCAGCCAATTCGATTCACTCCACATGATGTCAAGAAACAGTTGGAGACACTGGGTACTGCAAAGGCTACGGACCCTGACAACATTCCGGCAATAGAGCTGAACATTTGTGCTCTAGAACTTGTCGCTCCCCTAGCTAAGCTGTTGCCGTACAGTTACAACACTGGTATCTACCCGGCAATGTGGAAAATTGCCCAAGTATGTCCTGTAAACAAAAAGCAGGACAAATCCAACCCGGCCAATTACCACTCCATTAGTCTACTCTCGTTCATCAGTAAAGTGATGGAAGGTGTCATCAACAGCGCTATCAAGCAGCACCTGCTCAGCAAAAACCTGCTCAGTGACGTTCAGTTTGGGTTCCACCAGGGCCACTCAGCTCCTGACCTCATTACAGCCTTGGTTCAAACATGGACAAAAGAGCTGAATTCCAGAGGTGAGGGGAGAGTGACAGCCCTTGACATCAAGGTTGCAGTTGACTGCGTGTGGCATCAGGGAGCCCTTGCAAAACTGGAAACAATGGGTATTGGAGGCAAACTCTCTAGTGGTTGGAGTCATAGCTGACACATAGGAAGATGGTTGTGTTTGTTGGAAGTCAATCGTCTCAGCTCCAGGACATCTCTGCAGGAATTCCTCAGGAGAGTGTCCTCGGCCCAACCATCTTCAGCTGCTTCATTAATGACCTTCCCTCCAACACAAGGTCAGAAGTGGGGATGTTTGCTGATGATTGCACAGTGTTCAGCAACATTCGTGACTCCTCAGATACTGAAGCAATCCGTGTTCAAATGCAACAAGATCTGGACAATATCCAGCCTTGGGCTGACAAGTGGCAAGTGACATTTGCGCCACACAAATGCCAGGCTATAACCATTATCAGTAAGAGACAATCTAACCACCACCCCTTGACATTCAATGGTGTTACCATCACTGAATCCCCCACTATCAGCATCCTGGGAGTTATCATTGACCAGAAACTCAACTGGACTCACCACGTAAACACAGTGGCTACAAGAGCAGATCAGAAGCTAGGAATACTGCGGCGAGCAACTCATCTCCTGACTCCTCAAAGCCTGTCCACCATCTACAAAGTGCAGCCCCCACAACACTCAAGAAACTTGACACCATCCAGGACAAAGCAGCCTGTTTGATTGGCACTACATCCACAAACATTCACTCCCTCCACCAGCGATGCTCAGTAGCATCAGTGTGTACTATCTACAAGATGCACTTCAGAAATTCACCAAAGATCCCCAGGCAGCACCTTCCAAACCCACAACCACTTCCATCTAGAAGGACAAGGGTATCAGATACATGGAAACACCACCACCTTCAAGGTCCTGTCCAAGCTGCTTACCATCCTGACTTGGAAATATATTGCCATTCCTTCACTGTCACTAGGTCAAAATCCTGGAATTCCGTCCCTAATGGCATTGTGGGTCAACCCACAGCAGGTGGACAACAGTGGTTCAAGAAGGCAGCTCACCACCAGCTTCTCAAGGGCAACTAGGGACAGGCAATAAATGCTGGCCAGCCTGCAATGCCCACATCCCACAAAGTGAATAAGCAACAAAAAAGCTCAACTTTGGAGTCAATTCAGCAGCTGAGGCATTTCAGCAAATAATTCAACCTGTATTTTCAAGGCTTGCAGACATGTTGAATGTCAGCGATGAGATTCTCATCGACAGACTTCCTGAAAGTGAACTCAGGATATGTTAACATGTATATATCCAGCATGTTAGAGAATATACCTGCAAGTTCCAAAGAACAGCCTTATTGCACTGTCAATGTTAACTCTATTTCTCTCTCCACAGATGCTGCCAGATCTGCTGAAAGTCTCTGTACTTTCTGTTTTTATTTCTGATTTTCAGCATCCACAATATTTTGTTTCTGAGCCTAAATGCAGGTCAGCAATATCTGAGGTTAGAAACTCACAAGTATCCAGAGTGACACTTGTAGAGTTTTGTTTAAATTAGCATAAAGCATGAAGAAAGTTTGCAGTTGTATTCCAGCCCAGAGCTACATTACCTATCAGATCTAGCAAGAATGAATAGGAATTGCAGCCTGCAATAAGATGCTTACTCCTCCAATTACTTACTGCACTTTCAAACTCCCAACTTCCTCGCATTCTTTAAAAGGATTATTAACTACCAATCTGCTCAATCCTCAACCTTTCTTGTTCTTTCCCTGGAAAATCCTTACTATTTCCCACATTAGAGGTTATCCTGAGTATGGTGCTCTATTTGTTCCCTTGCATTCAAAAGGCACTAACTTCAATAAATCAGTGACTTATCTAACCATAGGTTGTACATATCTGCCTAAACTGCCCACTGCTCCAGAGTGGCAACTGAATGTAAAAGAAGCTGGCTTCCCTTCTCCATGACAAATTATTCCTTAAATCTATTGTCCTGTGACACCTACAGTGGAGGAGCTCCTTTTAATTTCTTTATCATTAAATTTAACTGACTCAGCGACATCTATTTCCCCAATACCCACGAAGCCAACCTTCCCTCTCAGTTCCCGCTCAAAAATGCTCTAAGTCTCCTACTGGGTTATCCTGATTAACAGGAAACTGCTGACCACCAGAGTCTTCTTACTGTCTCTGTGTCTTCAGATTTTGTTCACAAATCCCCCTTCAGACAATGTTTCTTAATCTTCCAAATCTGCCATCAAAACCAACTCCCGAGAGAAACATCCTAAACTGATCTGTCCTTGTAAACTACATCCCATCCAAACTTTCCAAAAGTTGATGGTGTCCTCTAAGACTCTGCCCATTATAGTGTAACTCCATGTTTGATTCCCTCCAATAGAGTTTTTGCTATTGTCACAATACTGAAACAATTTTAGTCATTTTTTTTAACATTCCTTCACAGAAGTGAGCATTGCTGGGTAAGTCAGCATTTATCACCTATCCCTGATTGTCCTTGAGAAGGTCATAATGATCACTTGGTTTGAACTGTTGCTGTTTGCATGGTAAAGGTACTCCCAGAGTTCTATTAGAGTGGGAGTTACAAAATGTTGACAGTGGAGCAAAAGCAAAGTTTATGACATAGCCCATGATTGTGTTACAAAATCCTTGCTAGCTTTTCTTTACTTTGCTCCAGTTGTTGACCTTGTCCTCTTTTGATGTATCTTTTCTATCGTCCTCCTGAGTGGGACTACCTTTGCTTGGTTCTCGTTGTGCTCAGGGCACCTTCAGCAATGACTTTGCTTCCTTTCTGTTACTTATTAATGTTCTATTCTACAGCAACATGATCCAAAGCGATAGCATCAGTCCCCAAATGCAGACCGGCAACAATCATCACTTTGCCATGTCCTCTCTCAAACCTTTTGTCTTTACGTCATCAAACCAACACCTCTAACTCTGGATGTGGTGTCATACATTTCAGGTTAGATACTGGGAATATTAAACCTGTTGGTTTCAGTTTTCATAATGAACTCCATACCCTTGTACACAAAGTCCATCATCTCTCTGTCACAGACTCAGTTGAAGGTAACGGTTCACAACTTCAGAAAATAATGCGAATGTATATGTCAATGGCATGATGATATTTCAAATGAAGTAACACTGACTTCAGCAGGCACATGCTATGGAGACTCTAAGAAGAGAGAATAGAATAAGCTATACTAGAAAGAGCTGTATCACAGAAATCAGTATTATATGTAATAGAGAGTAAATAAACAGTTTTTTGGAACATCTGAGAGTCAGACAATAGTCACTGTAGGTAAAACGCAGAACTAAATGTAGAACACTCAGAATGGAGACAGTACAGTCTAAGGGAGCAGTCTCTCTGCAATGCAGAATCAAACTCTGAATCCTAAAGCCATGGCAGCCTAACACATGAGGACAGATCAACTAAGTGTAATATCAGTAAAGACCAATTACAGGGCAATTTCAGTGCTCATCCTGGATAACATACAATGCGTGAACATATATGTCCATAGGGTTTACTCTCTCAGCCACTTTCATGAATGAGTCACTAAGTTTAAAACTTTGTGAAAACCAAAGGACACAATGCACTCCAGTCTTTCTGATGTTCTGCAATCTCTGAACAAAATTAGATTTATTAATATTAATCACCATTGCTCTATTGAGAATTAAATTTAGAATATTAGTGCAACATCGTTTTAAAATATAAACTCACTTCACTTTTGTGGTCCTTATGCTGGAAGTTTATATATTTTCAAACAAATACTTCCAAATAGATCGGGGCAGAATTGAATAGTTTAACACATCTTGCTTTTCTGTTTGAAGATTTTGTAAAGAAGAGAGATGCTGGGCACTAAGTTGCTTTGTTTATTTTTACTTGCAGCAAAGGCCTTGTTGCACTTACAGGCTGGATTTAATGGAAATGATGAGGGACTTGCTACATCACCTCCTTTGGGGAAGGCCCATGAAATTACATCCCATTTTGGCTGGACAGCAGTGGGCCTTCTACACAATCTAGGATCCAAAGACAGAAGTCCCACCAGCCGAGATCTATCAGATAATCAGAGTCCATGAGCTTTATTGATTGGCAACATCACCAAAGAGACTTTGGCTGCTGCCTTTACTATACCCATTGCAGGCTGAGGTGAGTCTGCTCAATATTTTAAGAACATATGATCAGAAGAAATTTCCTATTTGAAACAATAATATCATGATAAGTATCTTCCTCTGAGTCTGAAATCTGAAATGTTTTCTAATACAGTGCGTAATTTCAGATAAAAACTATGGATTTGTATTAACATTTCTGTTGATGAAAATGAATTAAAATACCTGGGTTTACGGGAACACGTGGGCGGTCTGTGGATTCTCGTGGTTCAGGCGGATTTGTCATCGAAATCATCAGCTGCTCCTGTACATGAGGCAGAGAGCGGAATTCATTAACACTGAGAAGCAAGCTAGGCTCACTTGCAATCTCTCTGAGTTGTGCTGAGTCTGCATTCCTGGTTCCAACAGCAAACACTGTTACATCAGCTCGCTTCAGTGCATCCACAGATTGTTTGATATAATCTCTGGATCTTCCAGCAGTGATGAGGACCAGTGACTGAGGAACACCTTCCTCTTTTCTACTTCCTGAAGATTTGGTGAAATGACGTCTATAAACATAGTCCAGTGCTGCTCCAATGTTTAGTGGTGCTCCACCTCTCAATCCGATTCCTTCCACATGACGCAGAATTTCATCTTCAGAAGAATAAGTGTTCAGATAGAATTCAGTTTCTGCATAATCACTGAACTGTACCAGACTGATTCGCACTCTGTCACTTCCAACATCAAGATTTTCAATGAAACTTGAGAGAAAGTCACGGACAAAAGGAAAATCTGCATTTCCGACATAGTCTGATCCATCGATAAGGAACACAATGTCTCGTTTGCTCACTAATTTTGGCATAACTGCAAAGAAATACAGATTTTAATCCATCATAGATAATTTAAAACTGTAAATAAGAATCATTGGACTCCATACAACCATAGACAAGAAACTCTGATTTTTCAAAATATTAAATAAAATTGAAAGTATGCAGCAATCGTATAAGGAAGCCTTAATCTGCAAACAAGTTTTCAAAACATCAAAAAAGTTACTCATGTTTTGAATAACTTTTCTCCCTCCCAATGTTTTTTACTGTGGATTTTGCATACTTTTCCACTTTAAGATGTTGCCCAAATCTTCAAGAAGACAGGACTGACAGAATCTCTAATCTCATTAACAGCAAACTCAAATAATTTTGGCAGTGACATTGAGATGTATCAACATCAAGTGTGTTCATTCCCTCATGCAGCCGGGATGTGCAGGCTACCAGTGTACAATTTATGATATTGAGATGTATGGGATATGAAGATATTCAGCACTTTTCTATATGTATCCTGACACCCAGTCCTAACTCCCATCAACCTCTCTCAATTCTTCCATCTCACATCAGACTGTTCATCTGACATTCAGTTCTAAACGAACAGAAATTTGCTAATGTTCTGGAGATCAAAGGCATTGTCTTTAGTTGCCATCACAAATGCTATTCCCTATCTAATGAATCTCTGCAACTTTCTGAGGCTGAGGCAATGTGCTTATAAGATTAGTGACCCAAGATGAGTTTCCCATCCAATATCCATGCCATTGCTAAGACATCGATCTCTACTTCCATAATATAACCCAATTCCAACCTTGCACCACCTCATCTACTGAAGGTTTAATTAATGTTTCTGCTACTTTGAGACTTCACTATTCCAATGTACCCAGCATCCATAAACTTGGAATCATCTAAATCTCTGCTGACCAGTCTATTCACCAATTATCCTGCTGACATACGTTAGCTTCTGGTTATAACTATACATGGATTTTCAAAATCAAACCCTTCTTTACAAATCCCCCCATGGCTTCATCTTCGTTATCTCTATAGTTTTATGGTGTCTGGTTTTATGGGGTGGTACAGTGGTTCAGTGGTTAGCACTGCTACCTCACAGCACCAGGAACCCAGGTTCAATTCCATCCTTGGGCAATTGTCTGTGTGGAGTTTGCACAGTCTCTCCATGTTTCCTGTGGGTGCTCCAGTTTCCTCCCGCAGTCCAAAGATGTGCAGGTTAGGTGGATTGGCCATGCTAAATTGCCCATAGTGTTCAGGGATGTGTAGATTAGGTGTGTTATTGGGGGATGGATCTGGGTGGGATGCTCTGAGGGTCATTGTTGATTTGTTGGGCCAAGGGGCCTGTTCCCACACTATACAGATTCTATGATCTGTCCTTTTCTAATTCAAGTCTCTTAATCACCCTCAATCTTAATTGTTCCAGCATTGAAAGCTATGCCTTCTGCAACTAAGGCTCAAAGTTTAGGAATTCTATCCTGTATTCTGTATATCCCCCTTACCTATTTTAAAACATGAGAAACCATATCTATTTAATGTAATATTTCCTAATATGGGTTTGTGTCGATTCTTGCTTTATGACAATTCTTTGAATAGTCTTACACATGAATTTTGAAGGCAGTATATAAATACAAACTGGGATTGTTTATGGGTTCTTCTGGCAAATGCAAATGTTTAAGTAATGCAAGCAATTCTCATATGCAAAACTCCAATCTGGTAATCTCCTTTTTCTTGACACCAGTTGCCTCCAGTCTCTCCCTGATATGGCACATTCGTATATTTATTACCTTCTGAGTGTCTAGGTAAATGTAAACTGAGCCCATGAGGCATGCACATAGAGACACTACCACTGCACCACAAGAACACTCATGATCCCTCACAGAATTACTTTCAATCCTGAACTGTGTGTTAAGTGCCAGGCCCAGCTGTTTAAAATACCAACAATAAATATTGTTGAACAAATGAACTGCAACTTAAATGACAGAAGTGCAAGAAAGGTTTAATATCCTTACTCAGTTATTCTGATGACACGAATGAACGCCCAAAGTGCTGAAGATTTAAGGATTTTGATTGTTCAGCAACACAGGGCTGTTCTTTATAGACTGAAGGTTCCATGGAGGTATCATATCATAGAATCGTAGAATCATAGACTCCGTACAGTGTGGAAACAGGCCCTTCTGCCCAACAAGTCCACACCGAACCTCAGAGCATCCCACCCAGACCCACCCTCCTATAACCCATCTAATCTACACATCCCTGAGCACTATGGGACAATTTAGCATGGCCAATCCACCTAACCTGCACATCTTTGGACTGTGGGAGGAAACCGGGGCACCCGGGGGAAATCCACGCAGACACGGGGGGAATGTGCAAACTGCACACAGACAGTCTTCCAAGGGTGGAATCAAACCCAGGTCCCTGGCAATGCTAACGACAGCAATGCAGCAACTGAGCATTAATTTCAACAATTCAAAAGTCGGATTAAGCTAATGTCGAAGGCTGAGTCATTTTGCAAAAGGTGTGATAACAAGAGGAGGAACGGCTGTAAAATATACCAATAACAGAGCAAGCAAAGGGTTCCTGCAAAATTGGTTCCAGAATTCAATTACAGACTATATCTGCACAATAACATTTGTGTTTTAAATCATTACCTTTTTTTATTATTCATTTGAGGGATGTGGGTGTCGCTGGCTGGCCAGCATTTCTTGCCCATCCCTAATCTTTTCCTGTCAGGTAATGTCATATGAATATGTTTAAAGTGCACTAATATTACTAACAAGGCAACAATAAGTGCATAGAGGAAATTAATTAAGATACCTTCATTAATGGTAACCATAGGCTTTTCAGTAGTTTGTGGCAAGTCAGGCACTGTAGATAATTGTGTCAGCAACTGATTCTGTATATCTGATAGAGAGCGAAATTCCTTTAGATTGAAAGCCAAGTTGGGGTCACTTGAAATTTCTTTTAACTGTGTTGGGTCTGCCCTCCTGGCTCCAACAGTAAAGATATGTATAGCTGCTCGCTTCAGGGTATCTGCCGACAGTTTGATATCATCTCTGGATCTTCCACCAGTGAATAGCATCAAGATCTGAGGAACACCTTGCTCTTTCCTACTTCCCGCAGATTTTGTGAAGTGGTTTTTAAGGACGTAATCCAGTGCTGCCCCAGTGTTAACTATTCGACCACCTTTCACTTTAAGCCCTCTCACATGAGACAAGAGATCAGCTTTCGATGAGTAGCTGTTTAGATAGGATTCTGTTTTCATATCATCGCTGTACTGCACTACAGCTACTTGCACTCTGTCACTTCCAATGTCCAAAGTCTCTATCAATCTTGTGATGAATTCACGGATATGGATAAAATTAATGTTTCCAACATAAACTGATCCATCAATAAGGAAGACAATGTCTCTCCTCTTCACTTCTTGTGCTACAACTGTAAGAAAATGAAAAGATTGTGATTCATTGTAGATTATATCAACTCCCTGAATATTGTAAGTAGCAGCAAAATGTCTACTCCCATCGGCATACAACTCTGTGACTATGTGTATAAACCTTCTCTCATCCTGTAACACACGCTTTCCATGTTTGAAAGAGAGGATGTTTTTTATTAAGGTGGAGATGGCGACAAAGTGATAAAGTTATCAGATCACTAGATCAGCAGTCCTGGTTGATTCTCTGGCAAATTGGGTTCAAATCCCAACATGATAGATGGTAAATCTTGAATTCAGTTCATATATCTGCAAATAAAAGCTGTATTTGTGGAGATTATTTGATTGTTATAAAACCTATCTGGTTCACAAATGTAATTTAGGGAAAGAAATCTGCTATCCTTACCTAGTCTGATTTCGAGGTGACCCCAGAGAGCAATATGTTTTCTCTTAACTGAAATGGGCCAGCAAACCACTCAACTGTATCAAGCTACGAAGTCAAAGAATAGGATTGAAGCTGAATAGACTAGCTGGTACCAACCTACGCAATGGAAAAGACAGTGGCAAACCCAGCCCTGTTAATTTGCTAAAGCCTTCCTTACTAGCATTTGGGAGCTTGTGCCAAAATTGGGAGAGCTGTCTCATAGATTGCTCAAGAAATCTGATGTAGACATAATTATGGAATCATAAAACAGACAATGCCAAGACGCAGAACCATTAGAGGTGACAGCACAGTGTTACCTTGTCAGGAGGAACTGATGGATTCTGGACTTTATGATATTCTCATGGCATCAGGTCAAAGGAAACCTCTTGATGATTACCTCCTTCTTGACTGCACCTCCTTTCAGCTGAAGAATCAGTTATTCTCCATGGTAAACAACAACTAAAGAGGCCATGACGAGTGGTGAGGGCACAGAATATATTCTGGTTGGGGACCTCAATATCCATCACCAAGAGTGGTTTGGTAACATGACCATTGACTGGGTTGGCTGAGTTTTAAAGGAAATAATTTGAATCAGTATTCACAAGGGAGAAGGACATGGTGGATGGTGCTGGAAGGGTGTTTTTTTCTGACTGGAGGTCTGGGACCAGTCAGAATTATTTGAAGAAGAATGCAGGTGGTCTTATTAGTAAGTTTGCAGATGACATAAAATTTGGGGGAGCTGTGGATAGTGAAGAGGATTGCCAGACGATACAGTAGGATATGAATCGGCTGGAGACTTGTGTGGAGAAATAGCAGATGGAACTTTATCCAGACAAATGCCAGGTTTGGAAGGTCCATGGCAGAAGGAAAGTACATTGTAAATGGCAGAACCCTTAGATGCATTAACATACAAAGCGATCTAGGTGTACAGGTCCATAGTTCCCTGAAAGTGGCAACACCACAAGTGGATGATGTGCTCAAGAAGGCATATGGCCTGTTGGCCTTCATTAGTCAGGACACTGAGTATAAAAATTGGCAAGTCATGTTGCTGCTGTACAGAACTTTAGTTAGGCCACATTTGGAGCATTGCATGCAGTTCTGGTCACCACACTACCAGAAGGATGTGTAGGCTTTGTACAGGGTACAGAAAATGTTTACTAGAATGTGATCTGATTTGGAAGGTATTAGCTATGAGGAGAGATTGGGCAAACTTGGTTTGTTTTCACTTGATCGTTGGAGTCTGAGGGGTGATCTGATAGAAGTTTATAAAATTATGACAGGCATGGGTAGAATAGATAGTCAGGATTGAAATGTCAATAACTGGGTGACATAGGTTTCAGGTAGAAGGGGGAACATGTAAAGGAGATATGAGAGGCAAGTTTTTTTTGATACAGAAGGTGGTAAGTGCTGCCAGAGGAGGTGGTAAAAACAGACACAGTAGCAATGTTTAAGAGGCATCTCAACAGATACATGAATAGGCAGGCAATAGAGGGATATAGACAGCATAGACACAAAAGGTTTTGGTTTAAATGGTGTCATGTATTATACAGGCTTGGTGTGCTGTTCCTGTGCTGTACTGTTCTTTGTTCTTTGAAGTAACTGCTAGACTGAGTAGGTACCAAGTGGAGAAGAAACAAACTAGAGGGAAAAACATGATATTATCCTTACCTAACAACCTGTTGCAGCTGCATCTACTGCACAGTCCTTGTGGAGACGCTTACCGTTTTAGTGAGGATACCCTCCATCATGTTGGTTGATACTGCCATCTTGTCAAATTGGATAGATTTTGATCAGATCTAGCGATTCAAAACTATACATCTGTGAGGTGCAGTGTGACACCATCAGCAGCAGATCTGCACTCAAAGAAAAATCTATGGCCTGGCATATCTCCAGTTTATCATTGCTGTAAAGCCAGGGGACAAATATTAGCAGAATGGAAAATGTAGGGGAGGAATGTCAGGAGAAAAACCAGATGTACATAAAAAAAATGAGATTCAGCTACAACACAGCACACCAAACAGCAGGAGCAAGCATGCAACGGACAGGGCTAAACAACCCCACGACCAATGGATGTGGTCTAAACTTGACAGTTTTCTGTCAAATCCAGCAGCAATCTATGGTGATCAAAAATGAAACAATAAACAGGAAAAGGAGGCTCTCCAAAGATCCTCATCTTGAATGATGTGGGAACCAGTGCCAAAGACAAGGCTGAAACATTTGGTGCAAGAAGTACTGAGTGGATGATCCACCTTGTTCTCGTCCTGCAGCCCTAGAATCTCAGCTGTCAGCCTTCAGCCAATTTGATTCTCTCCACATGATATGAAGAAAGACCTGTAGGCACTAAATGTGGGCCTCAATAACAGTTCAGCAATAATACTGAAGACTTGTGCTCCAGAACTAACTGCAGACCTAGCCAAGTTGTTCCAACACAACTGCAACACTGACATCTACCTAACAATGTGCAACATGGTCCAACACTCAAAACATCGCTTCTTGAAATTTGTTCCTCTTCACTAATGTTCAAAATGTTTTTTTTTAAATTGGGCGCTATGTGACACAAGAGGCTGGACAAATGGAACCAAATGAAATTGAATTGAACTATTGATAAGGGAATGAATTTTGATCAGAAGTAGGAGAAAGAGAGTGTAGATATAACATATAACTTACATAAGCAGGACGGCACTAGTGATGTGTCCCAGAGATCTGTAGTGCTGCTTCAACTTTTCACTATAATTTATAAATTAAATTGGTGCAAGCATGGAGTCATGTATTGAAAAGTGCTGATGGCATCAAATTTGTTTGCACAGAAGGGGAAGTGAAAATTGAAAAGTGGCATTGATAGATTAGTTGAGTGTGTCAAACTGTGGCAGTTAAGATTCAATATGAAAGCATTCATTTTGACCTAACAAATGCAGATTAAAGTATTTTCTAAACAGAAATTTGGAACAGCAGAAAGGCTTAAGCATTTGTAGATACGAATTACTAAGTAATAATGTAAATGTTTAATGGAATGTTAGCTTTTATCTCAATGAGGCTGTCAGACAAAGGGATGAAAAGTCATGCCACAACCACATAATACTTTGGTTAGACCATGTCTGGAGTATTGCGTTCAATTCCGGGACTCATGCTTCATACAGGATTTTTTGCCTTTGGATGAGATGCAGTTAGATTCAGCAGAATGATCTCAGGGCTAAAGGGATTATTATGAAGAACATTTGACTGGATTTGGATTGCATTCCCTTGAATACAGAAGATTAAGCGGTGATTGAACTGAGATTTTTTTTGATGATTATAGGAGATGATCAGGCAGACAGGGTGAAGTGATTTTCTCTGGGTGGGGACTCCTGCAAAAGGGAGATTGTGGAAATTAAAGTTAAAGCTAAAGTTAGGCCAATCAGCAGTGATCTCAGGAGCACTTCTTCACAGTAGGAACAATGGAAATATCAAATTCTTTCATCAGAAAAGCAGTCAAGGCTGTAGGTCCACTGAAAATTTCAAAACTGTGATTAATAATTTTGTTAGCCAAGGATATCGACTGAAATGGATCAAAGGTGGGAAATGCGGTTGAGATGTAGGTTGGAAATAGCAGAGCAAAGAGCTGAATAGTCAATTCATTTTTCTAAGGTCCATGTTTATTGCCTACATCATCGCCATCTCTATCGCTACAACGTCCTTTGGCGGGAAATTCTTTCTGTTCTTCTAACCATTCCCTCCTTTATATTCTCCAAATTACTTTCAGTATCACAGCCATTAGCTGTAACAGCTCCATCATCTGAAATGCTTTCCCTATTCTTCCCACCTTAGTACCTTTCTTCGTCGACCTCTAAATGTTTCTTCAGAACTTTCTCTTTGATATTGCCTTTAGTCACTGCCCTAATTCTTATCTCACTTTTACTGTTCCTCCAGTTATATCCACCTTGGGAAATGTGTAATGACATTTTATTTTAGTAGAGATTGTTTACAGATGCAAGTTATTATTGTTGTTAATTTAGGTTAATATTAATACGTTAAATGCTATTGGTGGACTGTGAACATATTATCTAATCAGAATGGCATAATCTGCAGTGTTTTATGTTAGGAGGTTTGTATATATACAGAGATGGAATATTGCTGCTTTATTTTAAATTCACCTAATTAGTATACTTCTTATTTTTATCTCTTTCAAGATTGTCTTTGATATAGAAATCTTCCAATCTTTTATTCAGTGCTGGGCAGTTACTAGGCTCCAGTAGAGTTAGAAGAACATGCACAGTAGATGTTTACCGCAATTCAAAGGGAGTTTTATTCAATCATTGTGCACTCTGTAGAAGCATAAGTCCACATAAGCCCATGAACCTGCCTGATAATGTACCAGGGTGACTCACATATGGACACTTGACTCACCTCTCAATCGTCACCATCCCAGCATAACCTAACCCAAATATAATACATAATACTCTTTCTTTGTCAACAAGAGCAATAAAACACTCATATGTATGCAGATTGGGTTTGTTTTTGGTCCACATCGCTGACATTTAGTTCTGCAGCAAATTAGACCTTTTAGTACAATAATAATGCAGAATAAAATGACGAACAAAGTATCGCTATCAATAACTAATATTGTTCCTTTCATGTAATAAAACAATCCCTGGATGCTCCGCAGGAACTTTACAAACAAAATTTGACACCAAACCCATACAGAGATAGCAGAACAGGTGACTCCTAAAAAGCAGTTAAAAGGTAGATTTTAGTGAGCATCTTAGAGAAAGGGGGAGACTAGATGTAGGGCTATTTGGAGAGGCAATTCCAGACCTCAGGTTCTAGACAGCTGAGGGCATGGGGACTAATCAGGGATGTACAAAAGCCAGGAATGAGAGCAGCAGAGATCCTGAAAGCTTGTAGAGCTAGAAGAAGTCACAGAGATTGGAAGGGCAAGGGCATGAAGGAATTTGAACACAAAGATGAAAATTTAAAAATGAAAATGCCAGATCAGATGTCAATGTAAATCAGCAAGTGCAAGAATAATGGGTGAATGTCAACATTTAGCAAGCTAGGAGATATCATAGAATTCCTACAGTGTGGAAACAGGCCATTCAGCCCAACAAGTCCACACCAACCCTTTGAGCATTGCACCCAGACCCATCCCCCCATAACCTACAGACCCCTGAAAACTATGGGCAATTTAGCATAGCCAATTCACCTAACCTGCACATCTTTGGACTGTGGGAGGAAACCAAAGCACCCAGAGGAAACCCATGCAGACACAGAGAATGTGCAAACTCCACACAGACAGTGACCTGAGGGTGGAAATGAACCCAGGACCCTAGCACTGTGAGGTAGCAGTGCTAACCACTGAGCCACTGTACCACCCTAATTATCATGGATTGTTTGGATGAAAGGCACTGACAAATAACCTGTCTCTCAATTTATAAATTATGTTAAATATTACTTTGAAACAATAATGTCTAACAGAATAAAAATTACTGATGTAAACAGTCAAATTCTATGCTATTGTTACACTGGTGGAAATGTAGCGCAGTGGACTGGAATTCTCCATACTATAGGCCCCATCCCAAATCATGGGAATGAGATCTTTTAAGCGATAGACTGGTACCACATCTACTATAATACTATTGGGGTAACCAAACCTTGAGCATATAAGTCAAAATAGTACCCTCCTGCTCAGATATGGAGATGCAAACACTGGGAATCCCTAAACAAAAGTGGAACAAGTGGGAAGGTTTTTTTTTTCTTGGACCCCTACACATCTGGATCCTGTTAACAAAGTCAATTGCTGTTGAACCTAAGATCTTAACTAGGCTCATAATGGAATCTACACCCACTCTTTTATGATATATGAGGGTTGCTGAAAACAAAATTCTCAGGGAACACGTGAGAACATTGAAAGGCATACACCAAGAATGTTGCCATACCATCAGACATTGACAGATGAATTAACCTCCCTCTAATGTAAGGCTTTCAAGTTATGGAAATCAGGGAATTTGGCAAATTCACCATCATCACTGTCATCCCCAACCCAAATCATTTTGCATCACTGTAAAATTTTGTGAAAGCAATCATATAACTTGTGGTAAGTAATGATGTGCTCGGATCTGAATGTGTGATGATCCAAGCAAATGATCAAGTGAGTTATGGATTTACTTTTCCTATTAGGTGGATGACACTAGCAATCTCGTTTTAATGCATCTGTTTCCTGCCCTGAAGTTGCTGGCAATATTTAACTGTTTCATCAACATCTACCGACAACTCCCGTCCACCACCACCCACCAAAATAAAATCAATAAAATGCATAGAGAATATAATTAGCCCATTATGAAGTTACAGGGAGATAACTCAGGCTTTTGTGTATGTGGAATTAATTACAGCGCGAAACAGTCAAGTAAATCTCTATGGTCACTTTCGATCCTAAATTTATCTAGCTTCCTCCTAAATGTACCAATAATATTTGCGCCAACTGCTTCCTGAGGTAGTGAACTTGACGTTCTTACCGTTCTCACATTTACACGGATATTTGTATTTCTGTGATAAATAAATCTACATACACAACTACCAGTGCAATAATAACTGTACAAGACTGTAAATGATCTAGGTACCTTCAGTTGTAGTAACTGGTGGAACAATTGTTGTTGGCAAAGGATTCACCGTTACTGATGCTGATAATGATGTCATCACCTGATTCTGTATATCTGATAGAGAGCGAAACTCCTTTACATTGAAGGCCAAGTTGGGGTCACTTGAAATTTCTTTCAACTGTGTTGGATCTGCCCTCCTGGCTCCAACAGTAAGGGTATGTAGAACAGCTCGCTTTAGGGCATCTGCCGATGGTTTGATATCATCTCTGGACCTAACACCAGTGATCAACATCAAGATCTGAGGAACACCTTGCTCTTTCCTACTTCCCGCAGATTTTGTGAAGTGGTTTTTAAGGACGTAATCCAGTGCTGCCCCAGTGTTAACTATTCGACCACCTTTTGCGTTGAGTCCTTTCACATGAGACAAGAGATCAGCTTTCGATGAGTAGCTATTTAGATAGGATTCTGTTTTCACATCATCGCTGTACTGCGCCACAGCTACTTGCACTCTGTCACTTCCAATGTCCAAAGTCTCTATCAATCTTGTGATGAATTCACGGATATGAATAAAGTTAACATTTCCAACGTAAACTGATCCATCAATAAGGAAGAGAATGTCTCTCCTGTTCACTTCCTGTGGTACAACTGGAAAGAATAAAAGAATATAATTATTGAGATCATATGAAATTGCTAGGTGTTCAAGAACAACATTATTCCTGATCATTGGAAGGGCGCACAATGAGAATTTAATCAATTCTGCTTCTCACAGTGCTGTAGGATACACACTACATTTCTAAAGTTAGTTTAAGAAGGATTCTGAAGAAGTTATACCAGATTTAAAATGTTATACCTTTTTCTTTCTCAACAGATGCTGTCAAACCTGCTGAATTTCTCCAGTATTTTCTGTTCATTTTTCAGATTTCCAGCATGTACAGTATTTTGCTTTTATACATTTTTAAGTTGTTGCCCTGGAAGTTTACTTTTCCCCTAATAATCTATTCAGAGATGATATTACACATTTCTGGAGCATGTAGGACTTGAACCTGAGCCTCCCAGCCACTACTACTGTGACACAAGAGGACCCCTCCCAAGCCCAGGACATCATCATGACTATTTGCCTGTCAGGTGCTTTTCTATTTTGTTGCTTCAAAACACTAGGGGGAGCATCTTCTTCCCATTCTGTTATTCCCTGATGTTCTGACATCACACACATCATAGAACATACAACATAGAACATTACAGCGCAGTACAGGCCCTTCGGCCCTCGATGTTGCGCCGACCTGTGAAACCAATCTGAAGCCCATCTAACCTACACTATTCCATTATCATCCATATGTTTATCCAATGACCATTTAAATGCCCTTAAAGTTGGCGAGTCTACTACTGTTGCAGGCAGGGCATTCCACGCCCTTACTACGCTCTGAGTAAAGAACCTACCTCTGACATCTGTCCTATATCTATCACCCCTCAATTTAAAGCTATGTCCCCTCGTGCTAGCCATCACCATCCAAGGAAAAAGGCTCTCGCTGTCCACCCTATCTAATCCTCTGATCATCTTGTATGTCTCTATTAAGCCACCTCTTAACCTTCTTCTCTCTAACGAAAACAGCCTCATGGTGTGTTAGGTTTTATTGGTAGAGGGATTGAGTTTCGGAGCCATGAGGTCATGTTGCAGCTGTACAAAACTCTGGTGCGGCCGCACTTGGAGTATTGCGTACAGTTCTGGTCACCGCATTATAGGAAGGATGTGGAAGCATTGGAAAGGGTGCAGAGAAGATTTACCAGGATGTTGCCTGGTATGGAGGGAAGGTCTTATGAGGAAAGGCTGAGGGACTTATCAGGAAGAAAATAATGTATTATAGTTCCCTGTGATAAGCTAAGTGTACCTTGCAGGCTACCAAATTCCTCTTCTGACTTTAAAGTTCACTTCTAGAACTCTGAGACAGATATTTGCCTGGAGCCTTAGAAAGGATACAAACAATTACTGCAATAGTGGTCATAAAAGCTCAGCTGCAAGATACTGTCTTATAGTACTGAATTTCCAGCAAGTAAAAGAGAGTCTATGGAGATGTGGTAAATAGCTGCTAGAACCCTTACCAGGAGCCCCCAGCTTTCCCCCGTGACGGTTAAGGATGCAGGCTGGTTCAAGTTGTGAATCCGCACACCCTTCATTCCTGGCTTTGTCAGTTATTTTGTGGAGATTCAACACAATGTGGAGCTGGAGGAACATAGCAGGTCGGACAACATCAGAGGAGCAGGAAAGTTGACGTTTCAGATTTGGACCCTTCATCAGAACTGGGCTGATGAATGGTCCTGTGCCGAAATGTCAACTTTCCTGCTCCTCTGATGCTGCCCGACCTTCTGTGTTCCTCCAGCTCCACACTGTGTTAACTCTGACTCTAGCATCTACAGTTCTTGCTGTCTCCTTGTAGAGATTGGCACGTCCTGGAGTCAGGCCCACTTTTAAATGATTAATTGGTTAATGATACCAGGAAATTATAGAGTGGATGAGGTTACAATTTGAATGGTAAGTTCAAAAAGTCTTACCTATGCCTCTGAGCTATGTTTGCCCACTCATTCCCCATGGACCCTCAATCATTCATTTATAGCATTCTACTTTAATAAAAAATAACTCATTTCATTACAATCCAATAACAGTGTCAGTCCTCAAGCCCTTTTTAAATAGCACATCATAAACTCAAGCCTTTGAACTCTCATAGTCTTGTATTACTAAATATTATGTAAATGGCAGAGTAAATCTGAGATCCAGAGACGTCAATCAAGCAATATTTTCCCTGAGGCTCAGCAGTTTCAGCCCACCATTGGATGTCCACATTGTCAGCCAAGCTTCATTAATGCATCCTAGATGTCCTACTTCAGGAACATGGTTTTAATTAGTTAGGCTGTCAAGTTACATGCGAATGGGATAAAAGCCATTTAAACATTTCCACAGACTACATTTTTGTGCATTTCTACTGCTCGAATCTCTTGGTGAGTGAATCATTTATGTTTGCAAGCACAGACAAAGACAGGAGAATTGCGCTCTACTATCGGTTGTACTCCTTTAACATGAGAACACCTTCTACTTACTGTGATCTGAATGGTCAGTTCACAGAATTGTTATGGCCATTTAGCTCATTGTACCTACATCCATTTAACCCAGAATTGGAACCAAAATGTGCGAGGAACATGTTTCAGTGCAGTAATTTGTTGCATCGATGATAAACTGTGATTAGAACATTTTTTAAATTCAGGTTTGCAGTTTGAACAATCGACAAGAGACATTGCAGTAAGTCACCCAGGTCCTTCAATGACACCTTTCAAATACATAACATCTAGCATCTAGAAGGATAAGACAGTAGATGCAAGGGAATATCACTTCCTTCAAGATCCACCCATCAGCCAAACACCCTGATTGTTACTGTTCCTGCATTGTTATTTGGTCAAAATCCTGGAACTCCCTCTCCAACATCACTATAGGTGTATTTACTCCACATAGACTGCAGCAATTCAAGAAAGCAGCTCAGTACCATCTTCTTAAGAGCTTAAGGATCAGCAATAAATCCTGTAAATCAGAAACAAAAACAGGAGTTGCTGGTAAAGCTCAGCAATTCTGGCAGCATCTGTGAAGAAAATCAGAGTTAACATTTCGGATCCGGTGACCCTTCCTCAGAACTGATGATAGCTAGGAATAAGGGTCTAGGCCCGAAACATCAGCCTCTCTGCTCCTATGATGCTGCTTGGCCTGCTGTGTTCATCCAGCTCTGCACATTGTTGTCTCAGATTCTCCAGCATCTGCAGTTCCTACTATCTCTGATAGCTAGGAATATGTCAGTTTATATGCAGAAGATAGATCCTTGTTATCTCATAGTCTGCCATTGTACACTACACTATAAACTATAACCACAGAAACGTGAACAGAACAGACTTCATGGCCACACTGGAAGCTACACTAAAAGGTAATGGACTCACAGACGAAACACAACAAGCCATCTGACAAACTATGATCCCTAGACTGAACTGGACAAATGAATGGGACACCCTCAACACATCAGAGAGAAAAGCACTCAAAAGACTCAAGAAAGACAGGAACATTATAATCCTACCAGCGGACAAAGGTCTCATGACCGTCATTATGAACAAACCGAACTACATTGAGAAAGCACAGGCACTGCTTGCTGATACACACAATTACCAACAGGTGGAGACAGACCGAACACCGCAGCTAACAAACAGGATCACCCAAACGGTGAAGAGACTAAAAAATGCAGGACAAATAACCAAGACAAACTGCATGAAAATCAGAAGGCTCGAACACCGCCCGCTTCTACAGACTACACAAAGTGCACAAATCAGATTTCCCCCTCAGACCCATTGTCTGCCTACCTGGCACACCTACACACAAACTGGCCAAGGACTTACAACAGAGACTGAAACACCTGGATAGCGATCACCCCCTTCCATCCATTCAACCCAGGAATTCCTTAACAAACTCAAGAACATAAAAATCAACGATGACGAGATTATGGCATTCTTTGACGGCACAGAACTATTCACATCCATTGATATAACATTAGCTAAAGAAACACCTGACACATTACTGGTTGAAGTAGGAACGCTGGCTCCATCAGTGAGGACAACATACTCAGACTACTGGATCTATGCCTCACCGCACACTTCATCTTTAATGGCCAAATATACAAACAAATCAATAGCACACCTATGGGGTCACCCATCTCAGGACTTATTGCAAAGCCAGTCATGTAAAGAATGGCATACACTACTCTCCCCCTCGTCCAGCTAAAACTGTAGATTCAATAAGTGGATGGCACGTTTGTTGTTATTAAATGCATCAAATTAGAAGAGACACCACCATCTCATCAACAACGTTTTCACCGGGATCAAATTTACAAGAAAAGAGGAAGACAACAATCAACTTCCGTTTCTAGACGTCAGGATGGAATGAATGACCAACAGGGTGTACCAAACCTCAGTGTACAGGAAGGCAACCCACACTGACCAAATCCTCAATTTCCACAGCAATCACCCAACACCAACAAACACAAAGCTGTGTTAGGACACTATTTAAATGGGCCACAATTCACTGCAACACACCTGAACTATGCAAGAAGGAGAAAGAGCGCCTATACAATGTCTTTGCTAAGAACGGATATCCCAACAACTTCATCCGCAGGTGCCTACTAGATAAACGATGCCAACAGTACATAGTACATCCCAATACACTGGCCACACTACCCTATATAAAGAACATATCAGAACTGACATGACTCCTACGACCACTGGGAATCATAGTAGCGCACAAACCCAGAGGCACACTACGATAAACACTCGCAAGAACTAAAGACCCCATACCCATGACATGCTGGACCAATGTAGTTTACAAAATACCTTGCAATGACTGCAGTAAATATTACATCGGCAAGACTGGAAGGTAACTAACCATCAGGATACACAAGCACCAGCTAGCATCAAAATAACACGACAAACTTTCCCTTATCTCAGTGCCCTTGGACAATGAAGGCCATCAATTTAACTGGGACAACATGACCACCTTAGCTCAAGCCAACCACAGACAGGCATAGTAATTCTTAGAGGCCTGGTTTTCAGCCCGTAATGCAATCAACAAACAGACCCCACATACAAACCCATGCAGAACAAAACCGGAAATGACACAACCCAACTCAGCAGACTAGATCTTGTAAATACCAAGTGGAGTAGAACAACATCGCTTCATCGGAGGCCGCACTGATGATGTCACCTAGCATTGTGACAAAACATCTGTATGATAACCAGCCAGCTCGGCGAGCAAGCTGACAACCTCATCCACCATCCGATCTACAAATCTTCGCAAGAACCTTAAATTATACACTATCTATTGTTAGCCATTAACAGTCTCCACTAACAACTATTCACCCTCCTAGGCAAATCATTAGCTACTCCTTTGTCTGTCCAACTGCTCTTCTCTCTCTTTGGGCTCTATCCCCACCTATCATTTACTCCTTACCCCATCCGCCACCCTACCTTCCGTACATAAACCAACATATTCCTAGTTACCATCAGTTTTTGTGAAGGGTCACCAGACCTGAAAGGTTAACTCTGACTTCTCATCACAGATGCTACCAGATCTGCTGAGGTTTTCCAGCAACTTCTGATTTTGTTTGTGATAGAGAAGAGAACAATTACTGGACTGCCCAGATTCCTTGTGCAGCAAGGTGACAAAACAATCTTAACCTCACAAGAAGCAGTGTGTGAAAAGGTCACATCTCACCAAACAAATGCCATAGATGAATTGTGTCAAGACTTGGTCCCAAATACACTCAGTCAAGCACAATAGGAGGCATTATTGTAAAGTGATCAGCACACAACACTTTTTCTTTTCTCAGCAAGTTTCTGCCAGGGAACAGCAGGAATTTTTGCACTGACTAGTATGTATTTCATTGTAGTATTACCCTGAAAAAAGATAAGATGCTTGTGCAGAGGACATCTGCCCAGAAAATCTTTGAAATATTAACCCATTTGACACCCTCAATGGAAGTGGGTGTGTAAAGCCAATATATAATACTGCACAAGAAATTGCTTGTAATCTGAAATTAAATGCTGAATCAATATGCTTTTGCAACAATTTTTGATTATGTACTAATCAATTAGCCCAAAATTTTCATGTGAAAATCAGACTTTCAAATAAGTTGGCAGTATTGGCACAGCAACCAATGTCTCTCTGTCTCTCTCTCTCTCTCTTAGCAAATTTACAACAGAAACATCTGTGCTGGCACACAGTTGCCAAAAACAGCTTTTCTTTTTAAACAAGATCTTGGAATTCTCCATTCGCAGAGTGAGAAAAAAAATTGCTCCTGTGTGGTCCTGCAAGTCCCTGTGTAATTTCATTGGCAGATAAATATGAATGAGTACATGATACCAGCGATTGTCTATGATGACAAGATATTAAGGAGACCAAAGTTTTGCCACCTATTCCATGTTAGGCGGTTGAGTTCATGGAGAATATTGTTACCCCTTTCAAATTGAGACATTGTCCATGTAAGTCTCCTTTCCCCAACTACACCATATAAACAGCATGCAATGAAATATAGGAAAAAGAAGCACAGCGACATCTACATGGGTATTTGGCATGAGTTGAAATGACTTCCTAATATCCACTAGTCTGGTGACAGGTGTGGACAGGAAAAGGCATTTTGTTTAAAATTTCACATCAAAATTGTAATTATAAAACTCTGTCTCATGACTTTCTGCTAACTGTGCCAAGAAATTTAGCAAGGCCTTTCAACGAGAGGAATCGGATCCTTAGATAATGTTTTAATCTTAGGATAGCATGTGTTGTCTATTTCTGGTGGTCATTCAATTTCCAAACAAAATCAGCATTTGACATCATATGTTAATCTTAAGAGAAACTCAATAGTTGTTATTGGTGCAGGCAGAAAAAGATTGATGAGTGGTTAAACAGGCAATTGAAATGTGCTGAAATATGACATCCAAACCAAATGTTCTGAAAAACACACTTATAATGCCCTGATTCTCATCAGAATCATTTAAAGTATGCCATCTTGGAAGTATACTTAAGTGCTCTAACAGGGTATCTTGTGCATTGCTTCGTAATAGTGATGACACTGGTAGTGGCTATGCAATTATGTATTTAGAATTTAGTTAGTGAAATAATTTGGTGGTATAATGAGTATATTTTGCAATCTCAATCTTGGTGACTTCAGTTTTACAATATAAAACATGTTGTTTTATTTTTAATCTGATATAATTTTGACAAAACTATAGTATATTTGACAAAAAAATTATACCTTCTGCAGGAGGAATTGTTTCCTCATCAGTAGGAAGGATTGGTTCTTCATGAGTAGGAGCGATTGGTTTCTCATCAGTAGGAGGGATTGGTTTCTCATCAATAGGAGGGATTGGTTTCTCATCAATAGGAGCGATTGGTTTCTCATCAATAGGAGCGATTGGTTTCTCATCAATAGGAGGGATTAGTTTCTCATCAGTAGGAGGGATTGGTTCCTCAACCACAGGCACAACTCCAAACATAGATAATAACCCTTGCTGAATGGTTTCCAACTCTTTGAAGTCTTTCAGTTTCAAAATAAAATTTGGTTCATATACGATCTTTTGAAGCTGTGCTGTATCTGCATTCTTGGCTCCAATTGCAATTGGCATGATACCAGCCTGTTTCATTGTATCTGCTGCCTGTCCAACATCATCTCTGGATTTCCCAGCAGTGATGAGCACCAGGATTTGTGAAGCTCCAGCATCTTCTCTGCTCCCTGCGGATGGACTGAAGACATTCCTTGTGACATAGTCCAGTGCAGCACCAGTGTTGAGGGGTCTCCCTGTTTTCAGTCTCATCCTTTTAATTGTGTTTAAAACTGCATCTCTAGTTGAGTGAGTGTTGAGGCCAAATTCAAGTCTTGGGTCAGAACTGTATTGTACCACAGCAACTTGGTCTTTGTCAGGTCCAATATCGATCTCCTGGATTACGCTATCGAGAAATTCGCGGACTTGAAGAAATGATCTGCCCATCCCAGGAGAGCCATCAATTAGGAAGACGATATCTCTCTTTCTGACTGATGGAAGTGAATAAATTCAAAGTAGGCTCAATATACATATAGAAAAAACAGAGATGTATGTTGAGGAAATACTAAGTGAATAATAATCTGCAGCTCACCCTTATTAGAATTTCATGCTGTTATTTTGAGACCATAACATTGTATCACAGAAATATTAATTGCTTATGAGTGATTAAAGTTTTGATCTATTCATGAGATTCCCTTCTTTGATATTCATCATAATATCAAAGAAATAATAATAATAATAAACGGATTCATGCCCATTTTAAAACATTGAAGAACATAAGAAATAAGAGCAGGATTCAATAACATCACGGCTGATCTTATTGTGGACTCAGCTCGACTTACCTGCCCACTCACCATAACCCTTAATTCCTGTATTGTTCAAAAATCTATCTATCTTTACCTTAAAAATATTCAATGAGGTAGCCTCAACTGCTTCATTGGGCATGGAATTCCATAGATTCACAACTCTTTGGATGAAGAAGTTCCTCCCCAACTCAGTCTTAAATCTGCTCCTCCTTATTTTGAGGCCATGTCCCCTAGTTCTAGTTTCACCTGCCAGTGGAAACATCCTCCCTGCTTCCATGTTTTATATTCCCTTCATAATTTTATATGTTTCTATTAAATCCACCCTCATTCTTCTAAATTCCAATGAGTATAGTCCCAGTCTATTCAATCTTTCTTCATAAACCAACACTCTCAACTCCGAAATCAACCCAGTGAAATTCCTCTGCACCCCCTCCAGCACCAGGACATCCTTTCTCAGGTAAGGAGACCAAAATGTGGCCTCACCAGCACCCTATACAGCTGCAGCATAACCTCCCTATTTTTAAACTCCATCCCTCTAGCAATGAAGCACAATATTCCATTTGCCTTCTTAATTACTTGTTGCACCTGCAAACCAACTTTTTGTTATTCATGCACAAGGATGGCAGCATACTGCAATTTTTCTCCATTTAAATAATAGTCCATTTTGCTATTATTCCTACCAAAATGGATGACCTCACATTTAGCAACATTGTACTCCATCTGCCAGACCCTTGCCAACACATTTAACCCATCTATACCCCTCTGCAGACTTGCAGTGTTCTCTGCACACTTTGCTCTACAAGAGAGTGATTTCCCATGAACATTATGCATTCTTTCGGCTATTATTTCCAAAGTAATTTCTGAGCTTATCACTTTGTAAGTGGATTTGGAAGAGTCAAATGTATATGCAATTGTAGTTATATTGGCCTTAAATTCCCAATAAGTTTGTCTTGATATCTCAGTATGAGGTAGGATGTGGAACACTCAGTTCTTGGGGATATTAAAGGATAGCCAGTGTGGATTATACAATTTAATGTTTTTTTTGAGGATATAATGATTTGGCACCCATAAGATTTGAATTATATAATTGTTGTACTTGATAATGTTGAACCTAAAGCAACTGGAACTTTGTGCATACAAGCATGCCATAATAAAGATGAGTGTACCCATTATACCTCTTACTCACTATCTGTTCTGACTCATAATCTGTGTTTAATAATTATCCGTGCTTACTAATAATCTGTGTGCCTGAGATATAGTTCAGTGCAACTGTCCTAGAAGCTCATCACCAAGAAGGACTGATCAGTAGTTCTCTGGTGAAGACATTTGGTGGAAAGTTATTGGAAAGTTTCCCACAGGATTAAAGTTTCAAATATCTGTGACTCACTGCTTCAGGGTGGTGAGTCAGTATTCAATTTCTAAACTTTATCCAACTTTCAAATTGAGTTTATCCATAATTCTGAGCATCCCAGAGTCAGGCAACACATCATTGAGCCCATACCCAATATTCTGCCTCTCCAGTCTTCTGTGCTACTTTTGACAGACATTAGAATAAGATTGGGAAAAATATTATAAATATTCAAATGTACAACGTTCCTAACAATTCAGAAACATATTTTTAAAAAATTCTGGTACCTTCTGTAGTAGGAATGGGTTCCTCCTCAGGTTTTATTGTTGGTTCTTCAATTATTATTGTTGGAACTGCCAGTGTGGTCAGTGGTATTATCATCTGATCCAGTAAATCTGGCAGAGACTGGAAATCATTGACACTGAAGATCAAACTTGGATCAATTGCCATCTCTTCTAGCTGGGCTCGGTCTGTGTGCTTGACTCCAACAGCGAAGGTCATTACTGCAGCTCGCTTCAATGCATCTGATGGTGCTTCCACATCATCATCGGACCTTCCACTAGTAACAAGCACCAAAAACTGAGGAATGTTTTCTTTTATTCGACTTCCTGCTGAGCTAGTAAAAAAGTATTTACTGGCAAAATCCAATGCTGAACCAGTGTTGGCAGTTGTCCCACCTCGCAATCTGAGGGTCCTGATATGAGACAGAAGTTCAGCTTCTGAAGAGTAAGTGTTTAAATAGAATTCAGCTTCAGTATCATCGCTGTACTGTGCCAGACCTACTCGCACCTGGTCACTTTCAATGGCCAAGTTCCGAACTATTCTTGTGATGAAGTCCTTGACAAAAGGTAAATTGGTGTTTCCAATATTGTCTGATCCATCGATAAGGAAGACAATATCTCTCTCACTCATTTCCCTTCGTACAACTGGAAAAAAAAAGACACCAAGTCACACAAAATCTTTAAAGATTAAATAAAACCTGGTAAACCTGTTCTAACAAAGTTTCCTGAATTCTACAACAGATAGAACTTTAATAACTGATGTTTCCTCTAGGCTTCTCCTATGTACTGGGGAGAGCTATATCAAACTAAATCCATTAATCACAAAGAGAATGTGTTTTACATTACAGACCTGAGGAAAAATTACACTACCTTTTGAAAAGGAAACCATGACTAATGCTATAGTCGCAGGTTTCTGGTATATTTCCAAATGGGCCTGGTTGTGTTGAGAGGATGGAACTACAAGATGCAAATAAGCTTAATATGAGAAACGTTTTCACAGCTGTCCAAACTATAAAGCAGTCTGAGATTTTTCTGATTGCTTAAACACTGATTGTGAGTGCCCTGGCAACAGCATATTCTCATGCTAACTGTGCAGTATTCATATTAAATAATGCATTAATCAAAATAGTACTTGCTAAGGCAGCAGCCTACAAACTTGTTATGTCTCAGGTATAACCATCCTTTTTGCAACTTTCGGATAGTTTTAATCCTAAGAAAAATCTTAGTTTAGAAATTGGCTAAAGAGACAGGGAAGTCTGAGGTAGAATGTTTTTATTCAGTGAGTGATTATGGTTTGGAATTTTCTGCTTACCAGCATGATGGAAGTGGGGACAATCAATGACTTCAAAATGAACTTAAAGGCCTAGGGATAAAACAAGGGAATAAGACTGACTGGATTGCCACATGCTGAGTCGATACACCATTGATGGCCTGATTGGTCTTCATCTGTGTGGAAATTACTCCATGGTGGGAAAATGATTAAAAATGCTTAAAAGTAGGTGTTGAGACAAGGAGAGAGTTGAATGGCTATGTCTCATCTCTTTGTTCTAATTGGCAAGGTACTCATTCCTATCAGAATTAAGAAGATGGTGCAATGTTAGGGAGTACAGTGTGCACTCCTGTATTAATGTGTTAACGTGGCAGTAGCTATGAGGTTTGTATGTTGAATTTAATCAATAAAATGACTTGATAACACAATGGGCAGATTGCAGAACCTCAGTCTTGGTGATGCCCCTTTTACAATTTCAAAAATATTCTTTATTCCCTTTTCCATAGTTTTGAGCTTGTTTTAATTCACTCACGGTATGTGGGCGTCTCTGGCTGGGCCATAATTTATTCCCAATTCTTAGTTGCCCTTGAGAAGGTGGTGATGCACTCCATGTGCTGTAAGTAGACCAACATGTTGTTAAAAAGGGACTTTCGGGATTTTGAACAGCAACACTAAAGGAACGGTGACATATTTCCAAGCTAGAGTAGAAAGTGGCTTGGAGGGGAACTTGCTGTTGGGGCTGTAGACTGAACCGTTCGTTGTTTGCCAAAACAAAATTACCTTCAGTTGGAGGAATTGGTTCATCAACCACAGACACTGCTCTAACTTTAAACAATAGCACTTGCTGAATAGTTTCCAACTCGTTGAAGTCTTCCAGTTTCAAAACAGAGTCGGGATTAGACACTATCTGTTGTAGTTCTGTTGCATCTGCATTCTTGGCTCCAATAGCAATGGGCACAATACCAGCCTGTTTCATTGTATCTGCTGCCTGTCCAACATTGTCTCTGGATTTCCCAGCAGTGATGAGCACCAGGATTTGTGAAGCTCCTGTGCCTCCTCTGCTCCCTGCAGATGGGTTGAAGACATTCCTTGTGACATAGTCCAGTGCAACACCAGTGTTGAGGCGTCTCCCTGTTTTCAGTCTCAGCCTTTTTACTGCATCCAAAATTTCACTTTTTGTTGAATGGATGTTGAGGCCAAATTCAAGCCTTGGGTTAACACTGTACTGTACCACGGCAACTTGATCTCTGTCAGGTCCAATATCAAGCTCCTGGATTACATGATTGAGAAACGCACGAACATGAAGAAACGATCTTCCCATTCCAGGAGAGCCATCAATTAGGAAGACGATATCTCTCTTCATGATTGGTGAAGCTGAATATAAATATAAAAGTGTAAGATCAGTGTGTATCTGTAACATTGTTATGTCACGGTCAGTCCAGCAATTTCCAATAATAACATGCTGTTTTAATTTAAATGGTTAAATATGGGTTTTTATATTCCCTATTTCCTCTTCAGCTCTTACTTTTCCCATTGCCTTGCTCCTATTATAACGTCAGTCCCATCACCTTCCCACTACCCTGTGACCAACTTCGTCTCATTAACTTTCATCCTTATCCTGGCCTGTTCCCTTCCTATCCCCATCTCTTCATCTCTAGCCTATCAACTCAACCATTACATCCATTTCCAATATTGCTGATACTCCAATCTCCCTTAAATCTCTGCTCCTGCCGAAACATTTTGTTTCAGATAGGTAGAAACAGTTAAGCTTTCCTCTCATTCATACTGTCCCGCTATTCCCTTCATTCTCTCAGTTCCCTCCAAAGGAATTTTGCTTACAAAATAAAGTTTGTTCTTTTTTGGGAAGGAATTTAAAATAGGACAGAGAAGTCTTCCTGTTCCATCTCTGATTCTTTTCTCACTCTTTCGGTGTCAGAGATAAGAAATATCAATACTTTTTGACAAGTAGGACAATTAGAATTGCTAAATTTGCTTTGACATTCAGCACTTTTTTAAAAAAAAATTCAAATCAGGCTGAGGTAAGACACTGGGCAGAGTTTTCCCAATCAGGTTAGAGCTGTTTCTGGTGCCTGTGCAGTCAGAAAATCTTGGAAAATCACTCAGGTTGGGATCCCACTGTCATCCTGGCCCTCCTCTGGCTTTCCCACTAATAATTTCCAAGTACTTCAGGGAGCCCTGTGATTCCGATAGGAAAGCAATTGAAGTGATATAAGAAGCATTTTACAAAATTTTTAACCATGAACGATTTAATTCCCAACAATGCATAGCTTCCACAATGTGTGTGATGATCAGAATCATCACTTGTGCACCTTAAAGAGGATCTTCAGTGAAGCTAACAGGTTGCGAAGGCTCTGACCATCTTCGCTAAAGAAACACACACATAGAACCTTGGAGCAGGAGGAGGCTCATTTAGTCTTTTGAGGATGTCCTGCCATTCAATATGATCATGGCTGATCATCCAACTTTATACTCTGTTCCCGATTTCTCCCAATACCTTTTGATCACCTTCTTCCTAAGAACTCTCTTAAATATCTTCAATGTTTTGGCCTCAACAGTTTGAGTTCTTGCCATGATCACTTTTACAGTTGTACATTTATAGTCCAAGGTCGTGCTATCATTGGTTGACAGATAATTATCACCTTTTTCTTGGAAGATCCATCACCTGCCTGGGACCTTCCTCACCTTCCCTGCTGTTAACCTTCAGCACAGCATGGGAGCAGTTTCTGCAACTCTAACTGCTGAGGGACAGTAGCATAGACCACACCACTGTCAAAAGTGTGAGCAACAGCAGCAGGGACAACACCAATAGCAGCTGCCTTCTCTTCATTTGCAAGCCTTCAGTCAGGCAGAGGGGTGAGACGCTGAGTATCAGCTTAATGAAGCAAGACCTCCAACACAGGATCTCCAGGCGGAGGATCAGCTCTGTTGAGATGTCTTAACATCAGTAACTCTGATGGCTCATGCTGGTCATGAAAGGTCACTGCTGACATCTGCAGGTTTCTGAAAAAGCAGCAGCTTCCCCAATGGACCAGTTGAAAATTTAGTGGCTGTAACCGATAAAGTACCTGTGAATGGAAGGCCATTTCCCGGGGTCTCTGTCTCTTGTCAAATTGTGTGCTGTCTTCTCTCCACCGGGAGAGAAATCAGAGAGATGTGAGAAGTCATCATGCCGGGGTGAAGAGGAAAAATGAACACCGCTTGTGGAGAGAGAGTTTGTGGAGCTGGATTGTGAGGAATGTATGTAAGAGGACAATTTGCTGACAGACCAGTCTGAGCATTGGCAGTTCTGAGATGTGAGGTGCTTGCACAGACATGAATGAATAGAACTACAGGCTGAATTGCTGCAGGAGAATGTTGGGGAAGTAAAAGAATGGGGTCTAGCCCTAAAATTGTTATACTGCTCACTGTCATACAGTGCTAAACGCCTGGGTCTAGGAGCTGTCTCCAGGTTGAATACAGCACACTCCTTTGGCTAGATTCCTTTACAACTGGTCAGTTTAATGGAAATGTCTTAATTTTCTTTTGTCCACTCACAGGATGTGGTCCTCCTGGCTGAGTCAGCACTTATAGCCCGCCCCCCTAGTTGCCCTTGAGAACGTTTTGGTGATTTGCCTTTTGAATGATTCCAGGCCATGGGGGTGGGTGCACTGACAGTGCTGTAGGGAAGGGAGTTCCAGGGTTTTGATCCAGTGACGTTGAACATAAAGTGATAATATTTCACGTCAGGAAAGCGTGTGACTTAGAGCAGAATCTGGAGGTGATGGTGTTTCCATACATATGCTGCTCTTGCCCTTCTGAGGTGGCAGAGATTGTTGACTAAGAAGCCTTTGCACATTGTTGCTGTGCATCTTGTTGATGGCACATACTACTGGCACTATACAACAAGTGGTGGAGGAAGTGAATATTTAAGGTTGCCAACCAAGTGGGTTGCTTTGCCCTGAATGGTATCAAGGTTGTTGAATATTGTTGGAGCTGCAGTCATCTTGCAAGATGCACTGCAACGTTTCACCAAAGTTCCTTTAACAGCAACTTTTAAACCTGAAAACTCCACCAGCTAGAAAGAAAAGGGCAGCAGATACATAGCAACACCACCACCACCTGCAAGTTCCCCTCCATGCCAATCACCATCCTGATTTGGAAATATATCGCTGTTCCTTCAGTGTCGCTGGGTCAAAATCCTGGAATTCGCTCCCTAACAGCACTGTGGGTTTACCTACGTCAGAGATTGTTAAAGAACATAACCCACCATTAACCTCTCAAAGCCAATTAAAGATAGGCAATAAATGCTGGCCTAGCCAGGGATGTACACATCTGTTAATGAATTAAAAACAAGGGATAATAAGAACTATCGATGATGGAGTCAGAGGTAACACAGTGAGGAGCTGGAGGAACACAGCAGGCCACGCATCATCCGAGGATCAGGAAAGTTGATGTTTCGGGGGGACATGGGTTCCTGTCCAAAAACGTAGTGGGACCATTACAGCAGGGACTCAGTGATCAAGGTTCCAACCATTATTTCTGTAAGACTACTGAACATTCAGATGTTTCCAGAGATGTATAAATGTGTAATCAGTGTAGAATCCAGAGCACTAACATTTCTCTCTCTCCCTCTCTCTCTTTCACACTTTAATGACCAAAAATAACAACACAGGTCAAATCTTACTTTCTTTGGCTAAGTGTGAGTTGCATCAAGTGTTGTGGAGTGATTTTCAGCACAAGGCCTAGTGAATTTCCTTGTCATATTTTACCAAATACACCTTACTAACTACCTGCTCCACACCTATGGTTCCCCTCAAACCCGATTCCAGCTCCCTCTTACCGTGCACCAACACCGGAACAACTTGCCACTGTTGGGATATCCTGGAATTACACAGTATCCCTAGCACCATTGCCACCTTTAAAATGCCATTGTGCACCCAGAAGTATTGTTAGTCTGGAGCTGCCCTGTAAAGTTCCTGAAATTGCCTCAGGCATGCAAACAATGAAAATTATGTGCCCCACTTTGCGCGCAGGGACCTGATAGTCCTACTGGATGGGATAATGCAGAGGAGGGGCTTCCTCTTTCCAGCCCAGTCCAAGGGTCAGCACAGTCACAGCCACCTGGAAAAATGCATAACAATGTAGGAAGAAGGTCAAAAACCTTTTCCACTTCACTACAGTAAGTGTCACTAACTCCTATCTGATACTTTGCACTCACTTTACCCCTACCCCTCTACCAACCTTCAACCAAGGCTCATCATCTATCACTCTCACGACTGTCTACAACATCATCCCTCACTTACTGTCACCTACTCAACCCCTGACACCACTAATGCTGTGTGTGCTCTGTGCTGGCACAGATTCAAGGCACCTCCCTACCTACCTCTGTGCCACCCATATCTATCTCCCATAATAGCAACCAGTCTTTCTTGTATCAGGCAGAAAGAGTCAAGGTAGGTGGCGTGCAGCCCAATATTTGACTCCTTACCCCTACAGGAGAACATCCTGATTGCACTTGCTCGAAACAACTCACTGACTATTTCCAAATCCCTGCACTGTTAATGAAACATGCCCTTGACTTATTGAGTGGAGCTACCTGACCAAAGGCTCTCTGTCTTGACTGGACTGAGGACTGTTAATAACACTGATAAATTTCCTGGCTTTATGTCTGTGCTAAATGGCAAGGCAAGACAGCAATATTTTGAGCTTGACATTTCTGGCTGAGGGGGCAAAGTACAAAAAGGCGAGGCAGGGCAGGAATGCCATGAGCATCCAGGTAGGCCCAGAGGGAGTGAAAACTATGAGAGTAAGCCCGAGCAGTGTCCTTGCATCAGCGTTACAATGATAGCTGCAGCCTGAAATGTAGCGTTGAAATGCAGAAGCATACTGTAATTGGATCAGAGATGCATCATGAGGATTCGCAAATACTGGCTCACGTCAGGTGCCAAGATCCATGGACGAGGATTGTGTGTATGGCCGGTGCCCTGAGATGTCGCTGCCTGTTGCCCAACATGGAGGTCCATTGGAGCAAGTGGCAAGCTGAAATTGCCAGGTACCCGCTCTGACTTCCACATCGGGAATTTTCAAAGTCTAGCTTGGTCAGCATGTTTGGCAAAGTAGGAAGTTGAATATTAATGAGGAGGATCGTGTCATTAATAATGTACTTAACAGGATATAATTCCTTTCAATTGGCAACTCACCAGTGTCGAACAAGGAACACACCTCACACCCACCCACCTAGGAAAATGCATAAAATATGCAGCAAGTTGTTCCCAATGTCACAATAAGCCTTGATGTGCTTTTTGCCCAATTCTGTCATGTTAAACAGGCAAGATTCCACTCACACTTACTGTTCTCTAGCTTTTCTTCAATTA